GCTCCTGGCAGGCGAGCCGCAGCCCGGGCCAAGCCAGCTGCAGCAGCCGTGCTGGAGGCCGCGGGGCCTGGGCAAATGAGGGCCGCCAGACTCGCCGCCGCTCGGCCCGTGCTGCCTTCTGGCTCGGGCACGGCTGCCACTGCCCTCTGGCGCTATGTGGTGCTGTAGCCGTTGGGTGTCCGAGGCGAGGTCTCTGGGCCTCCCTGATGGGGTCCGCGCAGATGTGGTCGGCGGACCGCGCCGGATCACCGATGCATCGGCGATGCGGCTCGATGTGGAACCCGATTTTCTCCCCGACGTCGCCGGTGCATCGCCAATGTATCGCCGATGCATCGGCGATGCATCGGCGATGCGGCGCGATCCCCGATCCCACCTAGGCGTGGGCAGCCATCTGCTGTCGAGCTGCCGCCTGCAAGGCAGGCGCCTGAGCTTGGAGCTCAGCGATGCGGCGCTGCACGAAGGTGGCCCCGGTGCCCGCCGCAGCGGGCGGGCGACCTAGCGGCGGCCCAGAGGCCCACTGCAGCGGGGCTCGCCGCTGGGCGCTGGCTGCTGGGCCCCGTTTTTGCCGGCTCGGCATCACGTCTTTGCCGTCTCGGCGAGCGGGAGGTCATTCTCGGTGACTGTCGGTGGCTGGGCGGCTGGCTGCCTGTGCCACACGGTTCCCGCGGCGGTGCCGCCAGGCTAGCGACGGGGCCACGCCCAGCTGGGCTCGACGCCTCCTCATCCGGGTCCATCTCGATCCGATCGATCCGATTTGACATCGCTTCCGGCGGTCCCGACCTGATTCGATCCTGAAGTCCCGACGATCCGATGCGGCCTGATGCTTGCGCTGTCGTGCACCCTGGTGCAGTCGATCCCCATCCGGCTCGGGGCCCCGTGGCCGATGCGGCCCGATCCCGCGCGCACTCCGATCCGGTTCGACTTCCCGACTCGATGCCGACCGCTCCCGCCCTCTCCGGGTCGCAGGTCCGCACGGCTTTCTTCGGATCGGCGCTGGGCTCACCTGGCGGGGCCGCCGGCACCGCCCCGGGCTCCAGCGCCGATCCAGGAAGTCCGCGTTGAGCCCCAGAAGTTCATGTTTATCGCAGGCCTAGAGGTTGACACCAACACCAAGATCGGCGGTGTGCCTCCACCGAGGGAAGACGATCCCGATCTCGGTGATGGTGGTAATATTCTGGCTTCCAAGGTGGCCGAAATAGTACCACTAACACCGAAATATAGGATCGTCTTCTCCCTGTGGAGGCAACCCCCTGTGTTGGTGTTGGTGCCCATTTCCAGGCCTCCAAAAGAAGTCCGCGTTGACCCCCAGACGTTTATGTTTATGCAGTCTTGTTCTTGTTGCATCTTGAGGTCGGATCCAGCGCCGAGCTCCCATGATCACCAGCTCGAAGCACATCCCTGCCGCTGAGCTTGGCATCACGCCATTTCTTCTCCGATTTCAAGGGTCCCCTCAGTTTCTAGGGGCACCTCTCTGGGACTGCCATCGCCTTGGGCCTGCTGATCTTAGGGGTAGGGATAAGCTCGAACTCACACGTTGGTACCCTCCCTGAAGGCGCAGGAACTTTCATCAGCTGGGGTCAGTGTGCACATTTTGTTGGTGTAAATGCAGAAGACTTTTATACCCACCGTGCATTCGTGATTCGTGTAGCATCTGCCTGCTATGACCATGGGAGGGTCAAAAGGACTGGGTAATCGCACGCGACCGAGGCACCGCTGGGAGCTGTCACGGTGTTCCAGAGGGAATGCAAGCGAGATACCGCGATCCCAGACACACGTGTGCGCAACAAGCGGCGTGAGCCGTGTGCGCCAAGTCATGGAAGAGCGGTGACCAGCCGAACGCTGAATCAAACGAATGCGATGCGTACGAGCTCCAAGTTTCGCACGGCGTTCGCGCTTCTGAGCCCAGGCAGCGCATGCCGTAAAACATGCCGCGGGGAGAGGGAGGGCGCATCACGAAGGTCGAAACTCAACACATACATTACTGTGGCGTTAGGCGCAACGCTTGATTCTAACTTGTGACGGGGCATGCCAAGCGTTTTGCCATCTGCCCAATACCCTCTAGACGCAAGTTCTCATTGATGTCAACCGTCACACGTCTTCGCTAGTTCAGGGGCTCTTATGGAGCTCGTTTCTGCCGTCTTGGGATTGTCTTGGGCTCCTGTGATGCAGTCTTGGAAGTCTCTTGGTGCCCTTTTGGGCCATCTTCGAGCCCTCTTACCCCGTCTTGGGGCTCTCTTGGGCCGTCGTGGGGCCCTCTTGGCCGTATGGTGGGTGTCTGGGATCCGTCGTAGGGCCACCTTGGGTCATCGAGCGGTCTTCTGAGGTCTTCGCGGGAGGCTCTCTTGGACTGTCTTGGGGTCGTCTTGGATGCCTCTTGGGCCATCGTGGGAGCTCTTGGGACATCCTGGGACCCTCTTGGGGGCCTCTTGGGCCGTCTTGGGGTTATCGTGAAGGCTTCTTGGGCCGTCTGGAGCTGATTGGGAATGTAACAATCGTTCAAACATCCAAGGGGCATACATGATTTGGGCTTCCTCGAACCCTGTTGTAGGTCCTCATCTTTTGGGCCCTCTTGGAGGCACCTTTGGCCGCATTGAGGCCATCTTTGGTGCCTTGGGGGCATCCTGAGCCGTCTTCGCGGCATCTTGGGCCATCTTCGTGTCCTTGTTTGCTTGCATGTGCCGTCTTGGAAGCTCGGGACGCGGATCCATCGTTTTTAGCGAGGAGTTGTGGCCTCGTGAGCGCGGATCCGTTTTTTTCGAGGGATCGTGTCCTTTGGAGGGGGGGCGATGCATGCAGGTGGTGCTGGTACGGGCGGGGCCCTTCTTAGAACTTAGAATTTTTCTAAACAGCTCAACGTGCACAGGGCACGGTGGCAGATCGAGTTGTGAACAAATGCGCCCGTTGACGTGCACCCAGCACGGTTGCCCCAAGGCAGTGGCGAATTCTGCGCGAGGTACCGCTCCCAGATCACGGGTCTGCGAAGCCGGGCCCACACGTGCGGGAGAGTGCTCAGTTCGGTTGGGTTTGTGGATTCGAACCGTTCCAGCAGCTAGGCGAATCCAAATCCATGTGCGAAGCATTTCGCACTTCTCAAACATGAAGATCACAGTTGAGAGCAGCATTGAACACGTCATAAGACCCTCGTGGAACAGAGCGATGTTTACTGGAGGCCGAGCGGCGGACGATCAAAGAGACGTGCGGAGCATTTATTCAATCGCCGCACAGGGAAATCCAGGCCCGTGGCGTCTGGTGAGAGATCAATGCAAGTTTCCGCATTGTGCTCCCAGACGCGAATCCAAGCTTACAGTGGCCGATCAGTTAGTTCAAAAGCGTGCGTGGCCAAGCGAGAGGAGTTCCAGGAACCCTCTCACCCTTTTCATTTATCAGCCAATGGGCGTTTCCCGCCCCCGACCGAAAGACATCGCGAGTCTACCACGCTTCTGTCTTGGACGTCATGAAGTCGATCCTGTCGGTCGCGCATCAACAAGGTCAGGATGCCATTTCTGTAACGTCTGGCCGAACGCGCACAAACCAGCAGGGCGGCAGCCCGAACAAAGTCCACGAAAAAGAGATCCAAATTAAGCGCGGATCGCTGGGACGACGAGCCCTGCGCGCTGCCGCGGTCCTCCTCTGTGGCCCTGGCAGACGCGCCAGCGCAGCGGACGCCATTGCAGCTTCTTCCAGCGTGCCCTGGGAGACCCAGCGCGGCCTGAGTGCCGGCGAACCGCGGCGCTGACGAAGCAACGCCGCCGCGCATCATCGGCTTCGAGCCCGTGGAGGAGCGCGTCGCAGGCTGGGGCTGGCAACGTAGCTCCAGCCGGTGGGGGATTCTGGCGCAGCCAGCAGTCGAGGAAGACACCTTGCATACGCATGAACTCTCGGGCGTCCGCGCGGATTTCTCGGATCGGTGCTGGGCCCCCCTGGCGACGCCTCCAGCGCCGCCCCTGGCGCGCTCCGCGTGCTGGGGGGGGAGGGCCAGCGCCGTTCCAAGAGGTCCGCTCGGAATTCCGACAGTTTGTGTTGATTCGACGACCGCGTTCCACTATCCTCGAAGTAACTACTCGCAAATGGCCTCGATCCCCCGCGGGGGATCTACGATAAAGTACATCAAAGCAGACGGGTGTTTTTTTCCGGTCGTTTGCGAGTAGGCACTGTGCGAGTGGTGGAACGCGCTCGGCGATTGATGCAGTTTTTCTTCGTTTAAACATGCGGTGGCGGAGGGCAGATCGTGCGGCGCGCGGTGCCAGTCCAGCTGGTCCTTGTCAGAGATTGAGGTAGACAGAGTATCGCGGATACGGGTCCGCGTGGGATGAAAATTGAGGTTCACGGGGTTTTGAATGACCAGTGTCACCGATCGCGGCGCCACCTAACGGACTCACGGGAAGCGGAAACCATCGAAAGACACGCGCAGGCATGTCAAAGGAGATGTTCCTATCCCCGAGGGCCGTCCAAGCACCCTCAAATAATTTCGAAGTGCAGCAATACTGGTGCACCCATCAGACGATGATCATTGTCAGTTCGTCAGGGTCAATTGAACCGAACGGCGTCATTTACATGCAGGCGATGGCCAAGTTGACTCCCGAATTCAAGGACGGAGCAGAGACGCACCGTCCCCGTAAGTGGCGTTTGATAAACGGTCTTGAGGGTTGACCACTTAGTCCATCCTTGGTTCATCCGTGGGTGCGTCTACTATAAGGCGATGCCTTGCTTGTATGCCATCCTTGTCATGAAGGTTGTTCTTTGTGTGCCTTGCTGGTCCCTGCCCTCTACAAAAAAGTGTGTGGCCATGGCCTTGGCAGGCGCCAACATAGGCACCGCGCCCTGAGGCTGTCCATCCACGGCCTGGCCCATAACTACACAGGATGACAGTTGGTGTGGAGGGCGTTCTCATCGCGCGGCAAGTTGTTGCATATTTCGGAACGCAGGATTCGGCCCAGGCCATGGGCCATGGCAGGAGGTGGACAGGATCAGGCGAGCAGCGTGCGAGCGTCGCGGTCAAGGCAGGGGAGCGGGTGTGATGTTGAGCGCGCGAGTTTTTGGGTCCGTGTCCCGCTGTCGCAAGCTTTTTGCGACGCTCCGCCTGCGCCTTGCTCGCTGGGTCGCCTGCGGGGCTGCAGGGGGAACCCCTGCTTGCAAACAGAAGGGCCCATCATGTTCGAGGGATCTGGCGAGGAGGAGGAACGGGATGATGATGACCAGGAGGAGGAGGAGGAGGAGGAGGAGGAGGAGGAGGAGAGGGAGGAGGAGGAGGAGGAGGAACTATCTGAACTATTTGGCTAAGCGCTGGACGTGCGCGTGAGAAAAGAGGGCTAGCCGAGACTTCGTTGCGCCAGCACAGCTTGAAGCCTAGTTGCCACGCCTTCTCGTCTCGGATACAAGCCCTTATCGATGCGAGATAAATTCCCTCGGCCCTTACGAGTTAAAGGCTCGCAGGCGGCCTCTAGGTAACGGCCGTCGAGGGTTGCATAATGCCCGCGCTGTCTGCAGAACGTGAGACAATATGTATCCCAAACTTGCGAGACATGGGGCGGGTGCGCAGAAACTCCCGCAGCCACAGCACCTGAGCCCCCTGGACCAAACTCACGGGCAGGGAGGAGGCCTTGGCACGGAGTGGCCGCGACCTCAAGGATTCTGGACGCAGGGGCCACAATCCGACATTTCTCGCACCGGAACTTACTGTTGAAATTGCAAAACTGGTGGCTGGAAGAAACAAGGGCGCGAGAGAGAGCGGGGGCGGGGGGTTTGCGGTCCTTGGGCAGCCTCTCGCCGCTCCAGGGGTCCGCAGCGGCTGCCAACTCAAGCGCTTTACGAGCCCTTGCTCGAACAATCACTCCCATGGCATCCCGCCGATCCGTCTCAAGAGAGTCGACGCGACACGACAGCGACCCCTGTCCCGCCGCCAAACCCGCTCTTTCATCAGCCAGAGCGTTGCCCTGTTTTAGGAACGGGTCAGTATCATGTTCTCTCGCCTCAGTGTGAGACGGGATCCATTTAATCTGCGCGCTGTCCTGGGAACGATCTCCAAGGGCGGCCCTGGTGCGACTCCAGAGGTCCTGATTGGAGCCAACCGTGGAACGAACCCTGCCAGACAGCCACGCACGAGCGAGAGGCTGATGGCCAGTCGCGAACTGAAAAGGATCCTGCACAGACTCCAGAGCAAGGGCGACAGCACAAAGTTCGGCCCTGGGGGCCGTCTGCCTTCGCCCTCCAACAACAGTACGAGCGCCCGCGGACAGGGCCCACTCACCCCCTTCAACTCTTCCGAGCGCCACAACAGCGTAACCGCAACGCCGTCGACGCACATCAGAGCTGAATTTTCCTCCAGAGCCATCGCCGAACAGAACGGCCCGACCGAACTCGGGATGGGGTTCGAGAGCCCCGAAGGAGTCAGGGCCGTACAGCGCCACTTGCTCGACAGGATAGCGCTGCGCCTCGGGGGGGGGGGGGGGGGTCCAATCGCAGGGAGGAATACCTCTCAACCAAAAAGCAGGACTGAGTTGATGCTGAGCCTGAGCCTGCATCAACAAACAATCGGACTTCTCAAATTCTGCACCAACATTTTTGCAACAAGTCCAGATGCGGTGGAAAAGCGTTTCCTCTTCTGATTCACACCCGGGACAGATGCGCGAGACCTCGTAGCCGCAATCAGCCATCCTGACCCGCGGCCACTGTCCCCCTGAAACAACCGCATTCTGAAACCCAAGCGACGCAAACCCTTGACGTTTCTCGAGCCGCTTGGCTTCCTGTCGAGCACAGTGCAAGTCGCCGCCCCCCAGCTCCAAACCGCCCCCTTCGAAGTGCCCCGAAGCCTGGCGCCGCAACTTACTCTGAATATCATCTAAAAGTTCGTCTAACAACTCAGTGAAATCGGCATCGTGGGCCTCGAAACCTGGGCCAGGCGCCGTCGGCAACTGCCGAGTCTCCTCTCCCTGGGCCGACGGCCTGGGCCAAGCATTGGCCAGGCGGGGAGACCATCCTGCATCATATAATATTGCAATGACAGCGCTGACTGGGTCCTTGACGCGAGCCCACCTGGTCTTGGGATCCAACGATCGGGGACGCAAGAACGACCGCGCGCGAAGGACCCGAGGGTGAAGGGATGGAGTCGATCGCCAAACCATCAGCCACTCGAAGACCAGCTGGCGCCTGAGCTCAGGCGCGGACTCCTTCCTACCCATGTGCAGACACACTATTGACGTGAGACACCTGCCAGCCCCCTTGCCCGCAATGGCCTGTGCGGCTTGGCGGCGGAGCTTGACCGCCACCGAGGGAAGGGAACCGTTACACTGATGGCCATAGGATGCTTGGAGGAGCGCTCCTGTGGTCCACAGGCCCTGAGAAATTCTATTTAGTTTGGCAGACCTCCTCAACTTGCGAATTCGACCGAAACGATGAGCCGCCTTTTGAGACGCTCCTTCGACTTGGCAATTCTCCTCGCTTTGCCTTCAGTCGACCCCGAGGTCGACAGCAGCCTTGGCGACCTGGCGAGGCACCTCCACGCCGAGGGGAAAACGACCCAGCGAGTTCGCTAGACTCTTACTGGTGCGCAGTAAACAAGTTTTGTCCGAAAAAGACCAACCGTTACTCCCGAGGCCCCTGGGCCAGAGCCTGGGAAACCTTAGAAAACGCAGGCTGAACGAAAGTCGGGTGACCTTCGCATCTAGCAACGGTGTCGTCAATAAAAGACCACAGCTGCACACTACCACCTGGCCTAACAATATGGGCCTTCTTCAGAATCGGAAACAAAAACGTCTTGGCGATTGGGGCGCCAAGATGAGAACCCGCAACGATAGACTTCGTCGGTCACGCTGGGTCGCTGACTCCACCAGCTCCTTTCATACGCCTAGGTGCTACATGCACTTGCAACTCCATAACAATCACAGTGGCAGTGGCAGGCAATTCGAGTCTTTCCGCAGTCTGAACTAGGAGAACCAGACTGAGAGAATCGTAGAACTTCTCGATGTCGAGAAGGAGAGTGGCTATCTGGGCCCCCAGGAGAAACACGATCACACTAGCAATCAACCCTATGGTGCGGTCACCACCCTTTGGCTTCGGCAACAGCGCACTCAAGGTGACAAACAGTTGTTCAGGCCACACTCCAAGCTTCTCTACCATATTGAACAGCTGGGTGAGATCGGCAATGGCGGACGGGGGGGATATCTTGGACCGAGATCGCATCAACACCTGGAGCTCTTTGAGAAACCGGACGAGACAGGAGCGAGGAGACTTCCTCGGGCTCGAGAGGGGGAAGAGGATCCTCAGCAGCTCTCTGCAGGGCACGGTCCACCGCAGCTTGCAAATCAGAAGCCGAAGCCACAGGGTCTGCCCGCGCCCGTTGCCAAAATGCGCGCTTCGATCTCATGGCCGAGACGGGATCCGACGAAGTTTTGCCAGAAACCATTATCTCTGGGGGCGGCCTGGACAACGCTTTAACGTGATCATGGGCGCGGCCAGGCTTGGCCTTCCACTGCTCATCGGCCCATTTTCCAAAACCTTTGCGTCCTGCGGCGATGGCCTTGCGCGAGGCCCTGCCATGACGCACCTGGGCGCGCTGCCTGAGCTCAGGCAGGTCCGAATCGGAAACTAAATCGAGATTTGCCAACAACTCCAACAACTCACGAACCTCAGGCTCAAGAGAGCCCAGCACCGAGGTGTCAGGGTCGAGAGCCAAAAGGCACACCTTGTTGAGGAGTTGCTGACATTGACGCTGCTGAGCCGCGTGGCTGCCATTTTCGCGAAGAGCTGAAAAGCGAAGCAAAAGCGTGGTAAGATCCCCCCGCCACTCAGCAGCGCCTTTCTTCAGGTGGGCACGCCCAGGACTGGATCTGGCTTTTGCCCAGACGAGCTTCGAACCACAGGCACGGCCCAGAACAGGGCCCCGACCGGACTCAGGGACCTCCGAGGCGTCCAGACTGATTTTCTCCAGGGAAGACGCCCACCGACCGAGCAGATCATTGACACTCTGGGTTTCTTTTTCCCTCGCACTATGTAAGAATTGCCTCGGCTCCGCCGCGAACTGGTGTGCCTCCTCGTTCCACGCCAGCTCCCACTGCCTCTCAGTGATATGGTAGATCGCAGCTGACGGATCTGGCTGGATCTGGTCCGCAGCAGGATGAATCTCATCGAAGGCAGCACGTAGCTCTTCGGGGGGCCGTTCTCGTCGTTGAACACGTAGAAGTTCACGGCGCTGAGACGTCTTGGACCTCGGGTCAGGGAGAACCTTTGGCCTATCAGCTTGATGTAGAGCACGCGGTACTCGCAACTTCTGGTACCACACATCTTTACCAGCAACCTTGAAAGTGAGACGAAGTCCGCAATGCGTCTTCCACGGCACCTCCAAATCGGGCTCCAGACTGACCAAGTCCTTTAACCCTTTGGAAATGACCGCGTAGTCAATCAACGTACCTGACCCTTGATCGCAGGTCACCTTGCACGACGGCAACAAGAAATCAGTATCCAACAACTCAGGGTAACCTGTCTTCATCATCTCGTCAGGCTTGTGATTCCAATCCGCCAGAATCACCCAAAGATCTGATAGACTCCGAACAAATCCAGTGAGCGAACGCAAAGTATCCTTGTTGGGCCCACGCATGCCGTACTTGGGCCACAAATATGAAGAAATCATAACAACGTTCTTACCCGCAAGATGCCATGCAACTGCCGTAAAGCCATCTGAGGATGTTTGGAACCAACCGACAAGTGAGCAAAGGACGTCGCAGCTACATGAGATCGAACAAGAATAGCTTCACCGCCTGAATTGCCACCCAAGGACCGACCCGACGGTCTGGAGGGCGTACTGAACATTCGCCACTTATCCTTGCCCAGAAGCTGCCGAACCTCTTCGTCTCTGCTGGGAAGAACATGCATTTCACAGAGCATCAATACGCTATAACGATCCTGATTGACAACATATCGATGAGCCTGAGGTCCCCACTCGGTGATGTTGGCAAACAGCACCGACGACCGAAACTTCGCCTTGCTCTGTCGCGTCGAACTTGCGGTAATGTCAACCGCAGACCTCTGCCAAACTCGTGCGCTCGAACTTCGACGGGCTGCATCCTGATCGACAGTGAACGGCTTGGTGTACGCAGGAAAGCCCACAAAAGGATTACCATCGCCTGCCGACGCCGCTAGAGACGTTGAC